GCCTGAAAAATATTACTGGGCAAAAGATGAGAATGTTCATGTGCTAAATGAGGTGCCAGGGGCTGTGTTGTACAAACTTAATTGGCAAACAGCTTAATTAAATATTTTAGGTAAGAACTGCTGAGTACAAAGCACTTTCCTAAGTGCTTGTTAAACTGTGCACAGAAACCCCCTTGCACTTGCTGGAACACAATTAGTTTCTTCCTGGTGAGAAATCAAGGAGAATAAAATGATGAACTTACTTGCATTTTTAGTATATTTTTGCATGTGCTGTTGTGTGGGGAAAAGAAGAAAGAGAATGAAAAATATGTGCAAGGAAGTGCCTTGGCTTTGCTTCTGGGCAAATGGGAATATGTATGTTAACATTCATGTGAGACCTCTGTGTGATAAATAGGATACAGAGCTTTATCTCTGACAGGGTTTGCTCTGTGAATCAGAATACATGAGCAGATAGTATTTGGTAGATAATTTTTCTGCTGCTTTATCTAAATAGAGTTTCTTTTGGCAGAGCACTCCTGCTGCCATAAAGCAGTGTCCCATGGTTCCTTTTTCCTCATAGCAAATACGTTGCTGCTGGGTGGTCAGGAAACAAATCTTGACAGAGTTCCCAGACAAGAGAAATGTGCTTCTTCTTAATGGTCTGCCTACTGACTTCAGGCTGCTTTCCTCTGGGGGGTCAGGCAGAAGATGAAGAGAAGGTACATGCACACGAGCTCATCAATCCGAGCAAACCTCTAGTACTGAGGTTTAACTTCACAAATTAATAATCAAGAGAGCTTCCCTGCTGACATGGGAAGTGAAGCTCTGCCCATCTTCCCATGATATAGCCATATGAATAAATATTCTGGCCTGCAATTTATAGAATCACAGAACCAACCAGACTGGAAAGGACCTTTAAGTCCGGATCAAGTCCAGCCATTCCCCCAGCACTGCCAAGGCCACTGAGGTCACTGAGGGCCTCATCTACCTGGTTTGTGGATGTGCAGAACTGTTCATGTTTTGCTGGGGTAAAAACCAGCTTAAAAGTGTATAAGCTGCACAAGTGTAAAGGCTTTAACAAGTCATAATTTGAGTTTGAAACCTATTCAATTTCTTTTAAAGTAACACAGGAGAACATCACAGCACTTTGTATGTTTTAAATACTGTGTAGGATGTACCTTTTTTCCACATATTGCTCAATACACAGTTACACTGGTTTCCCATGGCCTTTCCATTAAATTTAACAGCTCTGTATTTGTGGGTTTAGTAGGAAAAATTGGATACAGGGAAGGTGATAGAATCTCTTTTATTAGAAGTTTTGAAGGCGAAGTTACATAAAAATATGTCAAGGACAGTCTACTTAAACCTTTGCTACCCTGGAAAAGTGGAGAGCACAACAGCTTCTCAGGGTCCACAGGCCCACAGTCTCCATGGACAAAAAGGCCTTTACACCACAGCTTGCTGTAAGATTGCTTGAGATCAGGGTTCTCTTTGAGGTCAGATTTGTAAAACAAGACTGGAATTCCCTTTCGGAGATGTGATTATTCCCTAAAAAAAGAAACCCTTCCCAAACTAGTATTTATAAAAGCAAATTGGAAAAGTTGTATTAGATTCAGTGAGATGAAAATCTTTAGAGTTGTTGCCATTGTAAAACTATTTATTAGAGATTACAAATTAGGTGGATGGAAGAATGAAAGCCTAAATAAAAGATTAATAATAAGACTGTTTACTATGACTGTAAATCTGAATATTGCACCTTTGCCAATAGCCTCAACATTGCTCAGACATTACCAGAATTATCCACACTGAAAAGACTAGAAGGAAGAAGTTAAAGGTGATGTAAAACAACCTTTGCTTTCCCAGTAGCTAAAAGCTCTTCTCCCTCACTTTTTGCCTCTTTTTGATTTTATTTTTCAAATTCATTAGTTTTAACCATCTGCATCCTTCCAGGGATGGGGCAGCCACAGCTTCTCTGGGCACCCTGTGCCAGTGCCTCACCACCCTCACAGAGAAGAGCTTCTTTTACCTATCCTGAACTTCCCCTGTTTCAGTTTGGACCCATCACCCCTTGTGCTATCACTCCAGTCCCTGATGAAGAGTCCCTCTCCAGCATCCTTGTAGCCCCCTTCAGACACTGGAAGCAGCTCTGAGGTCTCCACGCAGCTTCTCTTCTCCAGGCTGAACAGCCCCAGTGTTCTCAGCCTGGCTCCATACAGGAGGTGCTCCAGCCCCTGAGCATCCTCGTGGCCTCCTCTGGACTTGTTCCAACAGTTCCATGTCCTTCTTATGTCTGGGACACCAGAACTGGACACAGTACAGTATTATAGATTATTATAGACTGTTACAGATTACTAGTACTACTAATACTCTATTAGTGCAAGAATTATTTGATAGAAGAGAGACTGGAGATACAATACCTTCGGCTTTGTGATTTGATGCATTACGCGTATGAGTGGAACCCACTGAAGGTGAAGAGGATTTGGTGCTGCCATAAAGATCTCAGCAGCATGCAGACTGGAAAGGCATGTCAGAGTTTGGTTATCACTGCATCTAAAAAGCAATGAACCAAGAGTCTGTCAAAGTGTCTGATATGGTTCCTTGGCCAGAGGAGACAGAAGATGGAGCAGTAATTGCTCTTGTGTGAGTCAGATGGGAGAGCATGTCCTGCTCTAGCTTTTGTGCTGTTACAACTAAAAGACTAACTCAAGTGTTCCCTGACATTTAAGAATATAACTTAATAACACTGGGCAGTTTCTTAAAGGTGATAAAATGTTTTTGATTAGAGTGGCTGGAATTCCCTCGTATTCATTACTCCAGCAATTTTTCTTGTTACTGTGATGAAATGCTTTCATTTTCATGCCACAAGTAAGTGAAAAGTAAGATTACCCATGCTGAAAGAATAAGCAGGTTTTTCTCAGCATGTTGAGACAACTCAGCTTACCTCCGCAGAGACAAGCATGTTGTTAGCAGAAGCAAGAGAAGCCAGAGGTTTTGGGCATGTCCTACAGTAGAGCTGCGTGCACTAATATGTAAGCATGTGATGCAAAGAACAAAACTAATTCTGGCATTATCACCTCTTTATTGCAATTAATCTCACTATTGATAGTGACTGCAGAGATTAGGAGAGCCTTCAGCTTTCAGCTCTGTTCTACTCAGTGAGGTACATGCTGTGAGTTCTGGTATGAGGCACAAACACGCTGTGTCTGGAAATACACACTGTCTTTTTGAGAAGTCACATCCAAATGTCAGATGCTCTTTGGCTCCCAAGCACGTGTGTCTGTGATGGGCTTTTACCTACTTCAGTCAAAGAAGAAACATATAAAACTCCAGGATTTTCTGGTCTGAGCCCTGCCCGGTGCCTTTCCAAGTTTCCCAGTTTCATTTCATGGTGGGCGTTTGCCCATATGAGGGTGCATGCGAGAGGTGAACATACTTCACAGTTATGTAAGCCTGAATTAGTGATTAAGTTACGTGAACAATCAAATCTGAGGTAGCTGTTCTCCAAGCAATACCTTCCTACTACCAATAGCTGCAGACCACAGCGCTGGCTGTTGAAATGGAAGCACTGATGGTGTGAATGGAGCTAGTGACCTTTGAGGGCAGCATCGCTGTAAAATGATGAAGTCAAGCACGGCTGCTCAGCATTTCTCTGCAGCGAGGACAGCACAAAGTCATAACCAGCGAGATGAAAAGAAATCAGTGTACACGCAGCCCTGGGTCTTTCTGCACGTTGAAATCTCATTAATGACTATGAGGGGTTTTATTGAGCAAGAGCAAGAGTGGAGCCTGGTGTCATCAACTGCAGCGATCACGGTACCACTGATTCCTTTCCTGCATTAAAGACCTCGAACAAGGGCAGAGTTAGAAAGGGATGAATGGATTTCAAGGAGTTTTGAATGTTAAGGGTTGTTTTGTTTTTACTTACCAGCAACACACACACACACAAAAAAAAGGAGGGAAATGAATTTAAACGTTAGAAAGCCAACACATTTAAACATTAGGGAAACCTTTTCAGTCTTCCAGCAGTGCAACAAGACAAGGACGGAGATTACATTAATTTTAGTGGATAAAAGGAATGCATCCACAAACACCAGCCCTAAGAAAGAACACCTAAATGATTCAGTTTTAATGTCAGTGTTCTTACACATTGCCTTGGAAATGATTTCCTAAGCCTGACACCTCAGGGTGTTAGTTGCGAGTTGTGCCGAGGTATCCGCGTCCCCAAGAGGGCCACGTTCAGCGCAGGCGTCTGGAACGGGCGCAGCGGGTACAGCAGCTGAGGAGGCACAGAGGAGCTGCCGGTCGCACACTCCATGCACCACAAACCGCGGACGAACGGGAGGTCTCGGTTCCGGGATCACCCTTCACACCCCTGCGGCGCTAACCGGCTGCCCCGTGCCGCAGCTCCGCTCTGACTCCCGGTACCCGGACCTCCACGGCGAGCGTCCCCACCCGCTCCTCCCCGGCGAGCATCCCCACCCGGACCTCCACGGCGAGCATCCCCACCCGCTCCTCCACGGCGAGCATCCCCACCCGCTCCTCCACGGCGAGCATCCCCACCCGCTCCTCCACGGCGAGCATCCCCACCCGCTCCTCCACGGCGAGCATCCTCCACGGCGAGCATCCCCACCCGCTCCTCCACGGCGAGCATCCCCACCCGCTCCTCCACGGCGAGCATCCCCACCCGCTCCTCCACGGCGAGCATCCCCACCCGGACCTCCACGGCGAGCATCCCCACCCGCTCCTCCACGGCGAGCATCCCCACCCGGACCTCCACGGCGAGCATCCCCACCCGCTCCTCCACGGCGAGCATCCCCACCCGCTCCTCCACGGCGAGCATCCCCACCCGGACCTCCACGGCGAGCATCCCCACCCGCTCCTCCACGGCGAGCATCCCCACCCGCTCGCACCGGCCGCCGCGGCCCTGCACACCTCTACCCCCGCCTCCCCGTTACGCTCCCGCGGCCGCCATCCGCGCTCCGCCCCGCCCCGTGACGCCGGTTGCCAGAGAGCCGGGCGGGCGCTCCAACCGCGGCGGACCCGGCCCGGCTATGGCGGCCGAGGAAGAGGAGGGCGACTTGGAGTGGGTGGTGGACACCATCGCCGGGTTCCTGCGGGGGCCCGCCTGGTCCATCCCCATCCTGGAGTTCATGGAGCAGAAGTGCGACGGTGAGCAGCGGGGAGCGGCCTCGGTGCGGGCACACCGGGGGTGACTCTGCCCGCGGGTTTGTGCGGGCACCGGGCGGTTGGCACGGCCGGGCCGTGGCCGTGGCGCCCCTCGGGAGCATCCCCGCTGCGGGCTCGTCGGGGTTTGCTTAGCCACAGCCTGCGCTTTGGGACCGGTTTTGGGGGGGGGAATGGGGGTGTGATCCGGGAAGGTCGGTGACCCCCCGCAAGCCTTTAGTCGGGCTATGGCAATTTGCGCTCATTAGCTCGTACAGGGGATTATGGCATGAGCTTATAGTGTGGCACCCGAGCGGGTCCTGCGCTCTGCTGTGTAATACCCTGGTGTGCTAGAAAGGGGGTAGAGGCCTTTAATGCTTTCCCATAGCTGAATGTTTTCCCCAGGAAGCTGGACAGCACAATTAAAATCACTGGTCAGTGGGACAGAAGGTAGGAGGCAGTTAAATTCCTGCAACTGGCAGTTAAGAGATGAGAAACCGTAAGTTAATACCTCTCAAAAAATGACAGCACTGAAAAGCCAGTGGCTACCGGTTGTGTTTTGTAGGTCATCCTAGGCATCAGCTTAGCTCAGAAGCAACTCCAGTTGAACTTGCTTTTCTTCCTCAAGAAGAACCTGAGGGAATCACGGGATAAGCTGGGTAGTACAGACAGCGAGAGGGGGACTGGAGCAGACCTGTTGCTCCATGAAAGGGTGCCTGAGGAGACGGGTATAGGTCTCAAACACATGTTTGAGAACACGGTACAGTAGCCCGTGATCTTGCCCACACATGAGAAGTATTAAAGCATGTTGCCATAGACTAATTTAGGATCATTTTCTATGGCTACTATGAGTAAACCTGTCCCTTCAGTATCACCCGACAGGACGTAGGACTCCTAGCAATTTTAACTTTAAAATACAGATGTCATGAAATGAAGGCTTTCGTTTATTTCATTTCATTATTGCTAGGGACTTACCAATGGTTCTTACTATTAACATATTGTACCTGCTTGGGCATACTCCTTCCTCCCCTTCGTCCTGCTGTGGGCTCTGGAACAGCTTCTGTAATGGTTGTTCAGGGGGGCCACTGTCTTCTGTTGTACAGTTGTTCTTGTTAGGGCCCATTAAGAGGTTTTATTTCATAGTCAGTGAAATAGACACACCTCTGATTCAGACCAGCCTCTAAACAAGTAGCTTCTCAGTTACCCTGAACCAGTTCTACCCTTTCCAAGCAAGATCATCATCACATCATAGAATCAACCAGGGTGGAAAAGACCCTTGGATCATCAAGTCCGACTGTTACCTGAGGACTGCCGAGACCACCACTAAACCCTGTCACCCAGGGCCTCTCCCTTGTATACTGGGAAAAGAGAAGGGTGAAGCTGCTGGACTCTTTACAGTGAAGAAGACAGAGTGAAATCTAGACTAGAAGTTTCTCTTGAGAAGTGCTTCAGCACTGTGACGCACTTTGGTTATCATGCAGAAGTTCTAGTTTAGGGACCGAGGGAATCGATTGTCCCTCTCTGGAGCAATGATCTCTCTTTAGAAGGCTGAGGGGCATTTACTGGCAGGAAGATTTGGGGAACCTCTGTGAATTTTCACTTAGTGTGGGTCAGGCTTGTGCAGTGGCCAATGCCCCATGTTGCTTTCTACCTGGAGGAACAAAGGAGAGAAATCCCTTGAATAAATGATCACTTGTGCTACAGATGGGCATTAGGCAACTTTTTTAGCAAAAAAAGCTAAAGAAGTGTTAACTGCAATGCTAGGGTTGATAAGAGGCACAGCTAAAGACATTTGAGATTTCAGTTGCAGATACCTGTGCTGTTTGCTTTTCCTTTCTATAAATGTACGGTGCTGAGCCCATTGCTGTATTTTGTCAGGAAAGAATTCCTTTCGTTCTCCAAGCATTTAGTCTTTGGGCTGAGCAAGCAAATGAGCAACATTTTATAAGATGGCAGTAATTTGTGATTCCTCAAAAATACCATGCAAGTGTTGGCAGTTGGTGTGTAAGGCATTTACCTTGGCACTACAGTTACTTAGGCCAGGGCTTTGCTACGACTCGTAAATGAGTGCAATGGATTTGTATCTGCTGACAGCTTGCTTTTTCTCCCTGGCTTGATTAATCTCCTTTTATGTGGCTGTAAAATTGAAGTGAAATCCGTGGGTAACGTACTTAAGGCAAGAGGGCTTTTCAGTTTTATTCACGTGTTCCAAGGTGTTAAATGAAACATCATTTGGACATAGGTACACTTGAGAATAGCTCTGAGCACCAGAAGATAAAGACAAAGGAATAAGCAAATATTGCTGGGGACTGGGGGAGAAAGATGAGAGTTCCCTCAGGTTTGCTTACCTTGTCTGCAACAAGGAGAATGAGACTTAACACTCATCCTGTTTGAGGGGTCCTGGCAAAGATTTCCAGCTTCAGCCGGAAAATGAGGAGCTTGTCTCCCAGGATATCCAGGTCCCCTGGCTGACCTCAATCCAGTGCTGCTTCAGGCATTTGTTCCCCTCAGGTGATCGAAGACTGTTCCAGAACCTTAAAGGAAATGATGATTACTTGGTTTAGGAGCTATGGCTCAAGACAATCCAAGGTCTCCAGTCAAAGTACTCCTTAATGCCACTTAACTCAGAGGAGATGCTGACTGCAGCTTGCTCTACTTGGAACTTAACTTCATCCCCTTTTAGTTCAGAGCCTGAGAACAGAGAGCAGTTTGTGCAGGCTTTCCAGCCTGCTTTCCACGTTGTCCTGTAGCTGTGGAAGGAGGAGGAGGACTCGGAAGCATCCCTTTGGCAGTGTGAGGTTAGCTGTTGGTGTGGACGCTGGCTGTGGAGTAACATCCCTGTGTCACCCCTTCTTTAGGTGCCCAGGGTGGGGAGGAACAGCAGGAGGTAAAAGGGAACAGAGAAACTAAGACAAAGGTTGGGGACTGGAAGAGCTGTCAGGGAGATCCCCCAGGGGCCAGGAAGAGATGCAGAAGACAATAGAGGCAGTTAAGTGTCTTCACCCTCTTGTTTGGTCATACAGCTGAGATTTATAGTGCTTTTCTACCGTTTGAATTTATTCCTAGAGATTTTTAAAGCTTTTGTTTTAATCCTGTTCTAAAAAAAAAAAAAATTCCTTTGGGCAAAACTGAAACCAAAGCAAATGTTGCTTTTCCAGATTATGCCATTTAAAAAGTCACTCTAAATGGGTGTGAAAGTTAGACTAATCCTCTGTGCATCAGCACGATCTTCCATCAGAGATGGCGGGTATAGGTGAAGAATAAATCACACTCATTCACATATTTAAGCAGAATTCCCATCCTTAAAACGACTTCAAAGCCAGGACGTGGGAAGTGACTTGTCCAACATATAGTGGCTAATCTTGAAGGGGATTGAGGAAGTCTTATTGCTAAGCCTCTGCTTTAATTGCTGGGTTTGACATTACCTCTGTTCCTGTTGACATGAAAACCCCATGAATTAAACCCTCCCAAACCCTAGTTTTCAGTTTCCCTTCTTTTCTGCTTCTTCCATCTATTCTGCAGTGTAGAGACCATTAGCTTGATACTTCCAGTCAAGAGTTTTTAATACGAACTTATATGAATATGATTAATATGGGCTGTACTATACAGATGGCCATTTTGTCTGAATCAGGATAGAGATCATTAGAAAATAACCTACCCGCATCAGGTTTTCTCTTTGGGGTTATCTCTTTTCTGCAGACAGGGTCTGATTTCCTGCATCACTTTCGCTCTTGCTAAATGAATAGCATTTAAAAGAAACTTGGTTTAAGTCATTAATAAATCCTCCATGTAAATACATGGAGAGAGGGAGAAATTTCCTGCTTTATGTCTGTCATCTACCACCTTAGAACAACCTTATGCAAGTTCGCACGGTAGTTATATTAAACCTGATATTAAAAACATATTAAACCTCACTTTTTAGCGTCCATATCTGCTGAATCCTCAACTTGCTTAAAAATCTGCTTCTACTCTGAAGATACGTTTTCCTGGGCTGAAATTTAGTGACATTAAATTACCAGGAGTATATGCTTAACCTGAATGTGTGGAAACTATTATTATTATTATCAGTCATGGCCTGTGTTTTAATATGATCCAATATATAACCTTGTAAAGGTTAATCCTTTAAGGCGTAAGTTAGTCTGTGGTGCATCACTAACTCTAAAATGTGTGTGTGTGTTTTGCCCCCCAGTTTTTGATGATGAAGAAGAAAGCAAGTTGTCTTACACAGAAATCTATCAGGAGTACCAAGCTCTGGTGAGTGTTATTCACTGTGTGGGGTGGGTTTCTAAGAAATCTAATTTAAAACGTTAAAAGTAGGATTTAGATGAACTCCTGATGGGGCTATCTTTGTTACTCAGAATTTTGTAGTATTGCCTGTTATGGGTGTCACTCAGAAATCCTTTGAGTCACAGGAGTCATGCTTAAACACAAGATAAATAGAAAAGAAACCAATGCACAGTCATATCTGTTATGCTGTGTAACGTATTTTTCATTAAAATTAACATATCCACTAGCTAAAATCCTGTACTTAAAGCTTGATAATGTCCATCTTAGGGTGGTGGAATGGGTTGCCCAGGGAGGTTGGGAATGCTCCATCCCTGCCAGTGTTCAAGGCCAGGGTGGACGAGGCCTGGGTTTAGTGTGAGGTGTCCCCCCCATGGCAGGGGGCTTGGACCTAGATGATCTTAAGGTCCTTTCCAACCCAAACTATTCTATGGTTCTGTGATCTTTTCTGTCAAGTTAAAATGCCCAACAACACGATGTCTGACACGTGTAACTTGTGTTTTGTTCGCTAATGAGTCTCATAAATCTTTTGAATTAACTTGCAATAATGGGAGACGAACTGAATTAGTAAGGCTTGTATTTTCTTTCAGGTTGAAAAATTATTAGAAGACTATCTTAAAGAAGTGGGAATTAATGAAGAGAAATTTCAAGCAGCTTTTTCATCTCCTCTTGCAAAGACACATACTTCCCAGGTATTTCCCTTTGTTAAGGAATGTGGAGATTGACTTCTTAGCTTTGTATTTTCACTAACGTAGCAGGGTGGAGGTGAAACTTTGCAAAGTTTTCTTTTTAAGAGTGTAACTGTATAAAAGATAATGTTTTTAGTTGAACTTTGAAAATAATGACAGCTATTTGTGTGGTGGACCCCTTCTGAGATTCATCTTCTATGCTTTATGTTTTCTAAAGCAAACCTCTTAAGCTTAGGGTGTTTCTGCCACTTTTGTTTGCATATTTGTCAGCATTATGTTAGTCTTCAGTCATTCACAGCAACACACTTAAAAAATAGATCTATTCCATGAAATAAAAGACGTTTTCCTCTGATTTTATCATAAAACAGTAAAATCTGTCAGAGAAGCATTGGCCTTGAGAAGAGAAGACTTGGGTGGGCAGCTCTTCCCCTGCTCAAAGAGACCTTTCAGGTATTTTGGGCAGAGCAGTGGGAGCTTCTGCTGCCAGTTGAAGCTGGGCTCTGTTGACACACCTCCTCCTCGATGTGTAACCAGCTTCTTCAGAGCACACATTCCTCACTCCAGCTTTTGCATTTACGCAGGAAGTCACGTTGCAGTTGGCAACTTACACTGGAAAGCTCCAGGTTTTGTGCTAATGTTACTGTAGACATATTGATCTCAAGACATAAACCATCAAGTTATTTTCTTGACCATCAGCTCAACCTGTATGGCTGGAAAAATACCTAGGAGAATTAAATCTAACTATTAAAAACATGCTGCACAGAATTTAAACCTTCGCGTCATTCCAAGCAGCCTGTGTTGGTTATGGTTCCTCTATGATTTTTAACCCTGGGCATGCTTTCTCCCCGCAGGCCATCCTGCAAACAGTGTTGGCAGCAGAAGATTTTAGACTGTTTAAAAAAATGATGGTGCAGAAAAATATTGAAATGCAATTGCAAGCTCTTCGAATCATTAAAGAAAGGAATGGTAAGAAGTGGTGAGCGTGGGGTTTCACTTCCACCTTTTCAGTGTTCTGTTGATGACTCCGTAATCCTTTTGCAACCGGGGATGGAACACTGGTTCAGCTCCAGTTCAAGTTAATGGAAAACATGCAGCTGATGGTACTGGGGCTGGGATTCCAATACTCAGCCCCTGGCCTGTATTCTCAGTGAGAGCTGTCTGTAGTCCTTTTTAAATTAACAGGTTTTTCAGCTCTGTTTGTCTGAATCTCGCTGTGAAACTTGACTTAGTTTGTTGGTACATAATTTTGGTGATAATTTTGGGTGTTAAAGCAATTACATCAGTTCATCAACAGTGGCAGTATCGATAATTTGAATTCTCAATGATGCTGTACTATCTGCTGTGCCTGCTTTGCAGTTCAGGCTGTACAGTTGCATATGAATAACCCAGAAAGCAGAAGTTATGGCTCCAGCATGCTAATACATGCTTCTAAAGAAGAGGAATTAATTTACACAGAGCTTTGCTGCTCTGCTGATGTTTCTGAAAGGATTTTCATCTACCTGCTCCTTTATTTCATGTCTTCAGTTTTACCTTTTTGTTTTGTCTCCTTCCTGCGTGATGATTTTTGAGAATCATTTCTGAATGTCAACTTTCATGTAACAGCTAAATGTGAAAATGGTTCAGTTGGCCACGGCCCAATTGAGTCTGTGGGGAATGCCATGTCATGGTCAATGCAGGGTATGGCTTATGCTTTACCCTTACATGTCTGAACCTTATGGGTCAGAAACCTTTGCCTTTTTGCTGCTAGCAGTGATGCCCAGGATATAGAGTCTTTTTGGAGGCAGTTACATAGAGGAAGAATTGAATGGGTTTGAGTTTGTTTTCTTTCTGTTCGCTACCTGAAGATGATGCCAAATGGACTACAAAATAACTTTCTTTAGAGAAATGCATAAATTTTGCCATGATTTTTGTAGGTGTCTTGCCTGACTGCTTGACGGAGGGTTCTGATGTATTCAGTGAAATTGAGCAAGAAGAAATGAAAATACTGAGGGAGGTTCTAAGGTAAAAAATGAATCAGTTCTACTTTGTCCATTGTTCTACAATAAAATAAAGGTACGTAGGGCATAACTGCTCCAGCCTCTCCTAGGAAACTGCCTTCAGCTTATAGATGACATGAATGTTCTTGGCAAAGCCCTGCCTAAGAGAACATGAATGGTGCTAGATGGTGGGTGTGATCAGGAGTATTTAAAGACTGAGAGATAACTGCTCCACCGTGATGGTGGATGCATGGAATGATGTGCAGCTTGAAGAGCCCCATCATTTCCATTCTCCCTGAATCTACAAGTAGACTTAGACGTGGGTTAGATGTCTGTGGACCAGAGGAGCACACTGGCTGTAACCCATTCAGGGAACACACTACACATCAAAGCCTTGGGAAGACAAAGTGTGCTTTTTCAGTAGGCTTTTTTCCTTTCCTTCTTAGCTGTGTTCAATGACTGTTGCTGTGATCCAAGAAGATGTGTGAGGACTGATACACTTCTACAGACACTCCTCCACTCCCAGTTCACATATATATAAACATAGACAAATAATAGCAGATTAATACATTCACATATTAAATCATGCTGTTTTCCCTCTGTATTCAGAAAATACTTCCCTTCTTGACTTTAACGGAGCAAATGAAACAAGCCCTGGAAATTCTTGCACAATTGTTTTTGCACAGCCAATGACAGACTGAGGATGGTGGGTTCTGTACGGTTATCATAAGTATTTCTATTAAGAGTGCATTTGAATTTAAGTCATGGAAGTATTTTGTATACGAACAATTATTCTATAATGGTTCTGATAGTCCTCAAATATTTAAGCAGTGCTAAATTTACCTAAAAGTCAGTAACAATGAAGAAGTTTTGAGCATTTACTTCTATTTTGTGCTACAGAAAATCTAAGGAAGAATATGAACTAGAGCAAGAAAGAAAGAGGACTGAAGAAGTGAGTATCTTACCTTTCCAGATGAGTTACGTTGATGATTAAGGAATACTCTGATCTTCTGTCCTGGCTGTCAGCTGCATCACTTTCAGGCCGTGTGTACCATCCTAAGCAAACAAAGGGGCTGTCAGGAGGGTCTGCCTGATACTGCTCTTGGAAAGGTCTGTTATGTATGTTTTTCTTGATGGTAGCATTGACACCATCAGCCATTTGGTGCAGTTCATGTGAAAGCACACTCCCACTCCAGTATCGGAATTCCAAAATCCTGCTAACGGATGTAAACCTTTCAGATCCAGAGAACATCTGAATTACTAATATTGTCAAGATCAAAGAGGCTTCAAAGTATAAGCTTCTTAGAGATTACAGCATTCATAATCCTTCAGGAATTTTAAGGATCACTTCATAGACAGTGAAGTTATTCATTAAGTCTGCACAATACTGCCAGAACCTAATCACCAGGAGCCAGAAATCCTCTCCAAATGAGACCCTCACTTGGTCTCAGTCAGAGTAAACTCTATAGAAAGGTGAATTCAGAAAACTGAATGTAAACAGGGATGGGCTCAATTGGCAATTGCTCAGCAACAAACTGAAACTGAAATTGGTTTTTACAAGGGCCTGTAGGGACAGGCCAAGGGGAATGGCTTGAACCTGCCCGAGGGGAGACTGAGCTGAGCTCTTAGGCAGAAGCTCTTCCCTGTGAGGGTGCTGAGGCGCTGGCACAGGTTGCCCAGAGAAGCTGTGGCTGCCCCATCCCTGGCAGTGTTCAAGGGCAGGTTGGACACAGGGGCTTGGAGCAAGCTGCTCTAGTGGAAGGGGTCCCTGCCCGTGGCAGGGGCTGGAGCTGGAGGAGCTTTAAGGTCCCTTCCAACACAAAACCAGGATGGGATTCTATGAAATCAACTGCAGTGGAATAGTGGCAATAAACGTCCCTTTCCCTGGGAGGACATAGACACATAGCTGGAACTGTGGGCTGTTTCAGAAGAGAGCAGAATCACCCTGCTAGTCTTTTCTGCCATTAGGAAATGGAGCATAATACATTTTGAAAGAGAAAACACTTCCTTAAACCTAAACTGACAAAGGAAAGCACCTGCAGACCAAATGCAGCTACTTTGTGGTTGACATCGTGCTGCTAATCCTACTCCCCGGTTCAAACCCGTGGTAGCGATGCTATTGAAAGCAAGTCCTGAACACTTGTGATATTCTACCAAATTAAATCCCTGCCCCAGTGTCTGTCACTGTAGAAGAGTGGTGAGAAAACTCTTCCCTCCCATATTGCAATGACAGTCCAGGAAACGAGTCACCTCTTCGACTGGATTTCTTACAAAACTACTGGGAAAGTCAAACTTTAGGAACTGAAGTTGTATTAAAATGCAGGCTTACCCAAATCTGCATAGACCAGCCAAGAATATCAATGTTCTTGATAAAAAGGCCCACTCAAGTTTACCTTGATAGTTACTGTTCAATAATATGGTTTTGTTAGAGAACGTCTTAATACAACATAATTCAATCTTGGATGGATGCTGGAGGGTTTTGACGTGAATTAGATGGTTGAGGAACAGTGTAGACATTTCCAGGGCAAATCCCAGTTGTCTTTATTTTGAGACGTGGGTTGTGTTGTCCAGGTGTTACTCAATGGAGTCAGAGATTACCCAGACCTGTTGTTCCCATTCAGCCGAGGATCTCTCTGTTTCTGTGGAAACTTCGCTGTGTGGTCCTGCTTCTCCTATCGCACTGTATTTTTCTGGTGGACAACAGAGGTTTGCTAAGTTGGCAAAAAAAGCCCAACTCCAAATTATCTCTTTGGGAAACAACAGTCTACCCAATATCCCAAACTCCCATTGTTGTTTAGGGAACAGGTTTTGAACTAAACCACAGAATAATGACTGTAAGCCAGTAAGAACCATCCTGTTAGTAAACCAAAATAGGCAGTTTGCTTTTGTTCACTTTGACAATGCAGCATGTATGTAAACAGCACTGGTTTATCTACACCTGGGTCGGAGCAATCCCAGGCACAGCTACAGGTTGGGCAGAGAAGAGATTCAGAGCAGCCCTGCGGAGAAGGACTTGGGGGTGTTGGTTGATGAGAAAATGAACATGAGCCGGCTTCAGTGTGCGCTCACAGCCCAGAAAGCAACCGTATCCTGGGCTGCATCCAAAGGAGCGTGACCAGCAGGGCGAAGGAGGTGATCCTGCCCCTCTGCTCTGCTCTCGTGAGACCTCACCTGGAGCATTGTGTGCAGTTCTGGTGTCCTCAACATAAAAAGGACATGGAACTGTTGGAACAAGTCCAGAGGAGGCCACGAGGATGATCAGGGGCTGGAGCACCTCCTGTATGAAGACAGGCTGAGAAAGTTGGGGCTGTTCAGCCTGGAGAAGAGAAGCTGCGTGGAGACCTCAGAGCAGCTTCCAGTATCTGAAGGGGGGCTATAGGGATGCTGGGGAGGGATTCTTCATTAGGGACTGTAGTGACAGGACAAGGGGTAACGGGGTCAAACTTAAACAGGGGAAGTTTAGATTGGATATAAGGAGGAAATTCTTTCCTGTGAGGGTGGTGAGGCACTGGAATGGGTTGCCCAGGGAAGTTGTGAATGCTCCATCCCTGGCAGTGTTCAAGGCCAGGTTGGACAAAGCCTTGGGTTTAGTGTGAGGTGTCCCTGCCCGTGGCAGGGGGGTTGGAACTGGATGACCTCAAGGTCCTTTCCAACCCTAACTATCCTATCTTATTCTATTCCATTCCATTCTATCTCAGAGTTCTCTTGGGAGCTTTCTTTGTGTTGACAGCTGGACTGTAGTGCCAGGAAATGGAATGCTTGGTTTTGTCTGTTTCTCCTTTAATTTAAGGCACGTGATAGAACGAAGTCACCAGCTGTTACCTGCAGTGTTCCAGGAGATTCGAGGGAAGCTGTTAAATCCAAGGAAGCCAGCGAGGGAGCTCCCAATCCTGAAGAAATCCCAAGACCTCGATTAGGTAATCTGCTGGCAAGGTGCAATGCTGAGTGTGCAATGTGATACTGCTTTTGAGTTGTGGAAGACTCCACGGATATAAAGGTTTGAAGAACCTGGCTGGATAGGCTGTGAGGAAAGCATCCTAGCTTTGAAGTCCACCCTGCTTTGAGCAGGATATTTGCAGTGGGAGACCTGCAGAAATGCCTCCAACCAGAGTCGGTTTATTACTCAGTGATGTTCTAAGTCACCTCCAACTGGAGGAAGCTTCTCTGGGCACCCTGTGCCAGCGCCTCAGCACCCTCACAGGGAAGAGCTTCTGCCTAAGAGCTCAGCTCAGTCTCCCCTCGGGCAGGTTAAAGCCATTGCCCTTGGCCTGTCCCTACAGGCCCTTGTCCAAAGTCTCTCTTTTTAGGGGCCTACAATTTCTCCCCTTTTTATTACTAGCTTTCAAAAATCAGATACTGTATTTGCACTCTGAGAAAGATTAAATAATGCTTTATACCGTAAGTACCTCTACTGCAATGAATTATAAATTGTCAAATGCCTGGAACGTAATTTCATATTCAGTGTTCCAATAGGCACTGGCACAGGGTGCCCAGAGAAGCTGCAGCTGCTCCATCCCTGGCAGTGTTCAAGGCCAGGTTGAGACCCAGGGGCTCTAGTGGAAGGTGTCCCTGCCAGTGGCAGGGGTTGGAGCTGGATGAGCTTTAAGGTCCCTTCCAACCCAAACCATTCCATGATTCTATAAATGTGATTTTCATTTTTTGAAGTCTTTGGGTTTTGAAGAGGCATCTCCCTGGTGGAAGAAACACAATTTCTTTATCTATTCCTATTCTTTCCCATTGCTACTTAGAGGAATCTCAGAAACCCGTGAAGGAAGACTTAAAACCCGTCCGCCCATCACCCAAAGGAGCAGAAAGCTCACCTCAGCCATGTGGCACCAAAGGGAAAGGCGACAGTAAGAAAAGGTCAGCTGGAAAGTGTCCCGAAAATGCAGCACAAAAAGCTGGGATGAAAGGACCTGTAAGTTCAAAACAAAGAAGGAAAAACCCCAAACTCAGAACTAGAACACAAAAAGACAGGATGACATTTCGAATATATATTGAAGACAGTATTGCATTTAATTATATATTTTCTGTTCTTTTAATCAGGTGGTTTTAGTTTGGGTTGGTTTGTTTTTAACACAGAGTGCAAACACTATTTTCTGGTTTAATTTGCATGACATTCGGATCATCATTCTAGTTTTAGAATAGAACCCAGTACTCAGCATTTGTCCTGTGATCATTTCTTAGTAGACAGCTCTGGCTTCAAACCTCAACTTGGATTTTTGTCTTTCACCTAGTGATTTTGGAGGCAAATAGGATGTAAATGCTTTTATCTGACAGAACATGCACTCCAAAAAGTGATTTCAAACCCTATTTAAAAACCAATTCCAGGGTTCCTCAGAGGTTGAAAAGCAGGAGTTGAAGCAACGCGAGGACTACCTGAAGAAAAAACGAGACATGCTGATGGCTACAAAGAAAGAGTCAAGAAACAACGTACTGTTACCAACAGACACTGCACAGAAAGAAGAGGAATCACCTCCTAAAGAGGTGAACATTCAAACATGTGTATTGTACCTGGCAGCATTTTCAAGTTACTACCTTTGAAGCAGCTTACAGGCTAGACGTTTCAGTGATTAAGTCAGCATTACCCTGCTTCAGTATCATCAAATCCTCAGGGGTAATTGTATTTATGGACAGCTTAAATGCTGGTTTTCTCCTTGTTTGTTCATTTGAGAGTTTTGTGCCAGTTCCAAATGAAGAAATCCTTCTTTTCTACCCATCAACCACTGCAATAGAAGCCCCATACCATTTAGAAAGACAAAGCACTCTGAAAGATGGATACTGCTGGCTGTCACCTACCCATTTGCCTCCAATAGAAATAAACCCAAGTCTGTATGAGAGTTGGAGGCATAGGACAGGGTGAAAACAGAATCCTGTGACAGGATAAACCCCTACCAGTAGAGAGGTCGTCTTCAGAGGAAAAACAATAACAAAACTGGTTTTTGTTCCCCAATGTTGCGGTCAGTACAACTTAATGCATTTACCGCATCAGGCCTGATGTACATCTGTATGAAAAGAAACGCCTGAAAACTCTCCACACAAATGAGGAAACTAGTAGACCTTAAACCTTACACAAATCAATGCGATACCTGTTGTGTCATTACTCCTCTCTGCAGAGCATGTACTTAAAACCTCGTGTTGCCTCAGGTGTTTCTCAGAGTTGCTGAGCATTTTATCACTCTCAGAACACGCCAAAGTTGGTGGGGAACTCCCCTCACAAGTAAGCAGCACCAGTTCAAGCTGAGGTTAGTCCTTTCAAGAAGAGTGGTACAGTGCAGTGCAGTGGAAAAGAGGCAGAGGGATGCACAGAGCCAGTTCCCCACATCCTGGGATCCACTTCACAAAACACGGGATATAACACGGTTTAACATCACTCTGGAGAGCCCGTGAGGCAGCCTCAGCTTTGCCACCGACAGCACTTGCCCTGTGGTTCACTGCAGTGTTTGTTCACTTTGCTTTTTAGGAGATGTCAGAAGAGAAACAGAAGTTGCTCCAGAAGAGGAAGATGCTGGCAGAAAAGCTAAAGGAAGAAGTTATCAATAAGCGGTAATTTTAAGCAGCTCGTGGCAGACCCCAAGAACATGAGTATGTTTTTAGAGTAAGTTACAGACCCAGCAACTGAATGGAGTTGCTTTTCAGCATTACACTTAGTTTTCTAGAACTTGCAGACGGGCAACTCAGTACTTTGTATGTATTTAAAATTACACCGAAATACACTAAAACCACTTCTTTTCCAGAATGCTGGAAACTCACTTTCACTGGAACATGTTCAGCCGTTCAGTATCACTGCAACACACAGATCAGTTTCTAAACTACTGGCCTCAGACTTCGGTATTCCATAGAGCAAAAGCGGATCCTGAGATCTGTTCAAGTAATTCCTACAGGAACAGCTCTGAGTTAGGAACGTTTCAATTCTAAAATGATAGAATTTGGTTCCTTTTATTCGCATCTAGAATCATAGAATGGTTTGCCTTGGAAAGGACCTTAAAGATCATCCAGTTCTTCCCCTGCCCTGGGCAGGAACACCTCACACTAGACCAAATCACCCAAGGCTCTGTCCAAAACTGTTTTTCATCTGCACGATGTAATAAAGTCCCATTTAACAAGGAAATGCAACTACAACCATCTTATTCTTAATGAAGGTAACACTTGGAGTCCAGGCATTTACATAGTAACTCAGGATTCCATTGGCTTATGTATTTTGGGGGCAGTTTACCAGTCTTTAGTTCTAATTTTGCTATAAATGCAACTAATTGCTTTAGTTGCACGGCTCAGGAAGGTTTCAAAGTGGAAATCCTTTAAAGTTAACTCTTTATAGTGGTTTGGCATTGACAGACTTGGGACAATACCCTTTGCACAATGGCACAGAATCACAGACTGGTTTGGGTTGGAAAGGACCTTGAGATCATCCAGTTCCAACTCTCTGTCACGAGCAGGGACACCCTCCACTAGACCAGGCTGCTCAAGGCCACGTCCAACCGCATCATTGCATAGTTGGCTGCAACACTTAACACGCATTAAAAGAACAAACCGAAACACTTCATATTTCATGTAACTTTTTATTAAAATAGCATTTATAACTGGTACACGTTGGCAGATGTTCTGTTCTTTCCCCAAAAGAGCAGCCGTGGAAGGACTCCAGGCACGGGAACACAGCTGCCCGCAGGCAGAACCCAGCAGCACCAACCAGGTCAGGCTGGGAACAGCACCCACAGGGTGGGGGGGACAGACCCAGGTGAAAAGGGTGCTGCTGCACCTCATCTGCTACAGGGATTTTAGGGCTTTTCCTTAAATGGGACATCTAATGCCACTTTACACAGTCTGCTTCTAGTAACTATAAAAATTCATTACATTCTTATTCTTGCTGTAAAAATCCTCATGTTGGTCTGAGTGTGGTTTTAAAGCTCCTGCCAGTACTTGAGGGACAAGACGTGGTGGTGGTGAGCAGGGGAAGGACACAGTTCAGGCAGAGACCCTCGGAGAGCTTGGTTTGGGTAGTGGTGAAAGCATCAGAACAGTTCAGGTCCACAGACCAGATGACATTCTCCAGCCTCAGGTTAGTAAAGGCACATACACCTCTCGAGTAGCATGTGTGGTGCTGGAAGAAGTTAAATCATCTTTACCACGGGCAGAAGACTCCTCAGGAAGGAAAGCAGATGATCACCAACTCACGATGATGCTGCTGCAGCTCCCCTTTAACAGCAAACACTTCCTTGTGCATCAGCAGCACTTCATTCCATGGGTGAAGGAGTCCCATTCCTGGCTGCCTGGAGCCACAAAGGGCACCACCACTGTCCCCAGGTCCACTCGTCCATCAATGCTCATGGATAGCTTATGCACTGGGAGGAGCTCACACATTCCCTTTGGGATTTCATCTAGTGGTATAGAGTTACTTTCCAAACTGCATGGACAACTAACTTTAAAAATCCTCTAAAATGGCCACATTTAAAATTCAGAGTTAACTTCCCATGTGTAACAAACCAAACCAAAGCAATACTTATGGAATTACAGGGTCACATTTTAATTCCTGAATTTTACAGTTCAGCATTAATATCACCACATGTATACAAATGGTGTAAAACAAGTACAGTGGTATTTTTAATACAAAATAAACTTCTGTTTTATGGAAAAAAAAAACTATACTTCATATCTACACAGACAGCCCATCTTTTTCCAAACAATAGCTAAAACTAAAACTACCTACAAAAAATCTCCAAAACAGAGAAACTGCTTCAGTTTAAACTATTCCAGGAGAAATGGACCCATAACACGTATTACGAGTGATCTATGCGGTGGACTGCAGCTGGTTTTAACCTCTCTGACACGTCAGTTGTCACTGGGAAATCTCCTTTCGCTTCCTCATGATCTCAGATCACACGTGGGCAAGCTAACATTAAAATATTTACAGTTCACTCGCTGCTCTTGGACATAAAACCTGCACTGTTTGCCTCTATCCACTCGCCGCCAACTCACCTCGACTTGTCACCTACGTGGAATGTGCTTTGATGGGTTAAAAAAGCAGCTTTCGTGTGACACCCAGGTTCAGGTGCTGCTTGTGGATCCCGCCTCAGAGCCCGGTGTTCTGTGAGGAACAATTTCATCTTGGTCCAAAGTGACTTTGGTGTTCAAAGCGCTGCTCAGCTCGTGGCGGTGACCAGTGCGGTAGTGCTGCCCATGACCACCTCAGTTACACCTCACCAACACTGCTGCTCCATGGAGAGACAGCTCACCCCACATCCCAGACAGCAATTCCAATCGGGATCCTTCCCACCGCGAAGGCCCGGCGCACCGCTGCCACACGAGCAGCTCCTGGAGGTACTGTGGAAGCGCCTGTTCCTTGGCATGGCTATTACTGGATGTTGAATTGGAAAACCAAGCAAAACCATCTGTTTGGCATCCAGCTTCCATTTGCTCCTCTTGAAAAACACAAATTAAAACCTTCTTTTGAACTGGTTGAAACAACTCGACATGCACTGGAACTGCAGTGTCCCTCCCTCCGACCAACCCCGAGAAATGTCACTGAATTGCTAAGAAACGGTCCCCAAATCTGGATTGTTCTGCAAACAGAGTTAGTTTTCCCTTAAGTTTTAAAAGAGGCATTGCTAAAAGAACACAACGGACAGCACCATTACAAAATTAAGATTACCAGGTTTGAAATTGAAGCTTGAATTGTTATTTTTTTTCTCTCCTAGTTCTGTTAAACACTGGGGAAACCCTGCAATAGTATTTAAAAAGTGTTTACACCCCCTTCCCTCCCTGCCCTCCCGACACCTGAGCCTTTCCTCGCTGAGGAGCCAGCATCCAGGTTCGCTGAATACCAACCCGCTGCTTTTGATTTCATTTTGCTGACAGCCTGAATGGCAGACTCCTGACTTACTAGAAAGATATTCAGTTCCTTGGAAGCTTCGTGTTGACAGAACTAACCCTTTCTAGCTGATACACCGAGTTTCTTTTGCTACTCCTTGTATTATCTTATATACTCATGGGAGAAAGCTTTCTGAATCAGATTCCTTTTTAGCTCTTAAAACAGTTGCAGCATTTGAAACCCCATAGTAAAAAGTTTTTATTCCAAAGTTTTGGTTTCATTTATGAACCCAAACGAGGTCTTTTTCTTGGAGAGGCCTCCTCCTCTTCGTCATCATCTTCATCATCGGGATAATCCACGAGGCCAACCAGGCTTCCCTGCCGATTCAAGAAAGAAGGAAAAAAGAAAACCCCACACTGAAAAGCATAGCCACGAACAGGCAATGTTAGTTCCTAACCCCCACCAACCTGCCCAGGACACCCACGCTTGCTGCAGAAGGTTTCCTGGTGATGCCTTTTTCATTCAAGACCCATTTGTCTTGAGAATGTTTCAGAACCTTGAGGTTAAAAAAAAACACTGGAATCATGCCTCTGGATCTGGCCGCAGGATTATTGAGAAATGACTTTTTAAGCTCTGAGCTGGACAGTCCAAATCTCATGTGCACAAAGCACATCCCTTCTGCTGCCCAGTCGTAGGGGACTCGCTGTTCTGTAGCCTCTTGGGAGCTCACAGCTGAAGACTGAAGCAATGCATGAGTGAGTAAGAGGGAACAGAGGGATCACCTACTGCATTTCATCTGCTTAGAAACCCTTAATAATTCCCCTATGGGGAGGAGCACTAACATAATTCAGAAAAAAAACATCTTGCACACACAGAGCATTAACTGGATAGTTAAAAAAGGGAAGGACTGGGCATTATGTGGAAGATGTGAAATTAAAACTGTGCCTACCAGATCACCAAAGGACTCTAGTCCCATCTAGTACTTAATTAAACCTTACCCCAGACTAGCACGGGTTTAACTAGATAGGACTTTGGATGAATTCATACACAAAAAGAATCACAGAATCCCGGCCTGGTTTGGGTTGGAAAGGACCTTAAAGCTCCAACCCCTGCCACAGGCAGGGACACCTTCCACTAGCGCAGCTTGCTCCAAGCCCCTGTGTCCAACCTGCCCTTGAACATTGCCAGGGATGGGGCAGCCACAGCTTCTCTGGGCACCCTGTGCCAGCGCCTCAGCACCCTCACAGGGAAGAGCTACTGCCTAAGAGCTCAGCTCAGTCTCCCCTCTGCCAGGTTACAGGCATTCCTCTTGTCCTGTCCCTACAGGCCCTTGTCCCAAGCCCCTCTCCAGCTTTCCTGCAGCCCCTTCAGGCACTGGAGCTGCTCTCAGGTCTCCCCTTCAGGAGCCTTCTCTTCTCCAGGCTGACTCAGCCCAGCTCTCTCAGCCTGGCTCCAGAGCAGAGCTGCTCCAGCCCTCACAGCATCTCCATGGCCTGCTCTGCACTCGCTCCAGCAGGTCCTGACTCTACCCATGCCATACCACACCCCATAGGTAAAGCCTCACAATTCTGCTCTGTGCCCTACACGAGGACAGCAGCTTTTGTCCAAGTTCTCCCACCTTGGTGGCTGTCACCGCTGTGGTCAGGGTTGTGTTCTTTGATGAGGAGCCATTTGAACTTGCTGGTGATGTCTGAGCTGCCACAGATTTACTGTTTGCACCGTTTGCACCGTTGGCTGTGCTGGCTGAGTGGGAAAAAGTGAATTTGAATCCCCCAGCTGAAGTCCTTTTTGGAAGATTCTCTTTGTCTTCACTCTCCTTAGCTGAAGGACAAACAGTGTCACACTTAAGTATCCGCTGTACACCATGGAGCACAATCCACATCACAGCACAAAACCCATCTTATTTCTTTAACTCAGGTTAAATCAACAGCTGCCCAGTAGCCTCATGGAGAGCACGCCAGCATTCAGACTGTGAATGGCACAGATGCTGCAGAGACAGGGACACTGCTCACCCAGCACACACAGTACATACAAAGTTCTGCTTCTGAGTGTCATTTAAATTCGATGCATGCTTGGAGCAACTGAAGTCATTACTTTAATCCTAAGCTAACTTGCAAAGACATGTTAGGAATTCATTACCTCCTAATATTCATTATTACAATGAATACCCTTACTCCTTCCTATGATACAGAGCATGTGCAACTGGTTTGTTTACAAGACACCCCATGCATCTGCCACAGAGAATTCCGGCACTGAAAAGCTGAAATCGAGCCAATACCTTTTTTAGTTTCCATAAATTTTTCATAGCTATCTGGAAAATCATCCTCCTGTTTGGACTTCTCAACCGGAGGCACAACAGCTTCACCTTCTTCCTCTTCGTCTTCATTGAACCACATTTCTTCATCCTCCTCTAAGGCTCTTGCATCTCTGCGAAATCTATTGCTACGCAATATAGATGGAACACTGTAAGAGACACAGGACAAGTGATTCCAGTTTTGCCTGCTGGTTAACACTCAGCTGGGATCACAAGTGGCTTCTCACACTTCAGAGTGCATTCAATTCACCTGACAAAGCAGTCCAGCTCCATCCCTGGGCCTAGCATCACCGTAAGCATCACCAAACCCCAGCTGGCAGGAAGGCAGACTGGATCCTAACTGGGAGCGACAGAAGATCCTGCTCTTTGTAAGCTCAGAGTTTTCTGAACATGACATTTAATATACTGACAAATAGGATCTGGACCTCAGGAGGGCCACACAGCAAGTCAGCTGGGGTTTACTCTGA